AGAAATGATGAAGACCCAAGAAGAACAAAACAACGCAAGAGTCGGGCAACTTAAAAAACAACTTAAAACGGCAATGGATCTTATTAATGTCATTACAAAACAACACTAGTATGTCCTAAATTGTTGATATGTTTATTGCAAAGTATTTATTTTAGATTAGCCACTTTCCTTTTTCCATGTAATAAATAATTATTGTATTATTTTATGATATAATGTTATTTGATTTTTTTGTTATTTTTGTTTTTCATATATTACTACAAAATAATTTGGATCTAATTTATAAGTCAATTATCCATCCGTCCATATGGAATCTTTGATATGGAATCTGATATATAATATACACCATGAAAATTGCTAGGGATTCATTACCACATAATTTGCTAGGAAGTCATCAAATGGAAGTTGCTAGGGATTCATCACCACCAAATTTGCTAGGGATCCACGACCATTGAATTTGCTAGGAATCCATCACCACAAAATTTTCTAGGGAATCACCACCACGAAATTTGCTAGGGATTCATCACCATAGAATCTGCTAGGGAATCACCACCAAAAAATTTACTAGGGATTCACCACCACGAAATTTGAAGGTGCTATTTTATGATGTTGTTGGTGGTCATGACAAAAAAAATACTTTATGGATTAGGCTCTTTTGCAAAGGCGGTTCCCAATAGGAACGGTAAAACGGATGTATCTTACATTCCGGAAAAAAAATGATGAAATAGAAGAAATGAGGGAGCTTGTTTCTAAACAAAAAGAGCAAAACGAAGAGCTTAAAGAAATGATGAAGACCCAAGAAGAACAAAACAACGCAAGAGTCGGGCAACTTAAAAAACAACTTAAAACGGCAATGGATCTTATTAATGTCATTACAAAACAACACTAGTATGTCCTAAATTGTTGATATGTTTATTGCAAAGTATTTATTTTAGATTAGCCACTTTCCTTTTTCCATGTAATAAATAATTATTGTATTATTTTATGATATAATGTTATTTGATTTTTTTGTTATTTTTGTTTTTCATATATTACTACAAAATAATTTGGATCTAATTTATAAGCCAATTATCCATCCGTCCATATGGAATCTTTGATATGGAATCTGATATATAATATACACCATGAAAATTGCTAGGGATTCATTACCACATAATTTGCTAGGAAGTCATCAAATGGAAGTTGCTAGGGATTCATCACCACCAAATTTGCTAGGGATCCACGACCATTGAATTTGCTAGGAATCCATCACCACAAAATTTTCTAGGGAATCACCACCACGAAATTTGCTAGGGATTCATCACCATAGAATCTGCTAGGGAATCACCACCAAAAATTTACTAGGGATTCACCACCACGAAATTTGAAGGTGCTATTTTATGATGTTGTTGGTGGTCATGACAAAAAAATACTTTATGGATTAGGCTCTTTTGCAAAGGCGGTTCCCAATAGGAACGGTAAAACGGATGTATCTTACATTCCGGAAAAAAATGATGAAATAGAAGAAATGAGGGAGCTTGTTTCTAAACAAAAAGAGCAAAACGAAGAGCTTAAAGAAATGATGAAGACCCAAGAAGAACAAAAACAACGCAAGAGTCGGGCAACTTAAAAAACAACTTAAAACGGCAATGGATCTTATTAATGTCATTACAAAACAACACTAGTATGTCCTAAATTGTTGATATGTTTATTGCAAAGTATTTATTTTAGATTAGCCACTTTCCTTTTTCCATGTAATAAATAATTATTGTATTATTTTATGATATAATGTTATTTGATTTTTTTGTTATTTTTGTTTTTCATATATTACTACAAAATAATTTGGATCTAATTTATAAGCCAATTATCCATCCGTCCATATGGAATCTTTGATATGGAATCTGATATATAATATACACCATGAAAATTGCTAGGGATTCATTACCACATAATTTGCTAGGAAGTCATCAAATGGAAGTTGCTAGGGATTCATCACCACCAAATATTTGCTAGGGATCCACGACCATTGAATTTGCTAGGAATCCATCACCACAAAATTTTCTAGGGAATCACCACGACGAAATTTGCTAGGGATTCATCACCATAGAATCTGCTAGGGAATCACCACCAAAAAATTTACTAGGGATTCACCACCACGAAATTTGCTAGGGAATCATCATTCCGGATTTTGATAGGGATTAACTACAACGGAATTTGTGATGGAATAACTACCACGGAATTTGTGATGGAATCCTACTACGGAATACACGACAGAATAACATCTACCACGGATTTCATTCCGTTGTCACAATTGCGACATAATGATTGTTTCCCTAGTAAACGCTCGCTACGGGGTTTTTTGGGACGAAAAGCGGTCGTTGCAAATTTCGTCGCTATTCGTCCTTTGCAATGGAATTTCAGCTTTTCGCAACAGAATCCTTCCCTAGCAAAATCGTGTTTTTCTTATAGTGTAAACATTAGAGTTTGTCCCATACCTGCTTACGCCATGCGTACTCCACGTACGCCCTGCGTATGTGGGTGGAATCCACGACCATCAAAAGGTTAGTACGCTAAGCGTACTCATAGAGTACACCCTATGTAGTAGCAAAGGTCCATATTGATAACAAATTAGCATTAGGGACTAAAAGAGGAACTTACCCAAAACTTGAATGTTACATCTTTTCTCCAACCTCTACCTCCATAAAAGAAAACCCTAGCCCTTTTTTGTGTTCTTAGTGTATTATTGAGCCTTGAGAGAGTTTTGGTGAAGATACAAGCATTTGGTTCATTGTGGAGTTCATTTTAAAGAAGATCCAACCTTCTACATTGTTTCTACACCATAGTAAGCCAAAAGTCTCTTCCTTTATGCATTTCATCCATATATCTAGGTTATGGATGCGTTTTAGTCCCTTTTCTTGATGTTTGAGGAATTTGGAGAACTTCATAACAATATGCTTGATTAAGATGATTTTTAGAAGTTTTTAGGGTTATTGGAGTACATGTTTGGCCTCCCTTGGAGCCATGCAAAGGAATCAAGTCATTTAGGGCTCTTTTGTATTGGATTTTAAGTGATTAAGTAATGGATCTAAATAAAGTTGGAAAATTTATCCATTAAGACCCATATTGGATTTATATCTAAGAATATAGGCATTGGTATTAAGAGATTGAATGATTCACAAGAAGTTAGTTCCGACATGCAAAGTGGGACGTGGCCAAGGAAGGGTCATGACACGAAGTTTCAAGGATTGTCGCAAAAGTTTTTTTCCTGGTGTCTACAACGCGACCAAGTGTTGGGTCGTGGTGTGTTGAATGTTAACTGTTGACCATTGACTTTATCTAGTTTACCCTTGACCCTTTACTTTTTAAGCGATTTGATGTATGGTCAAACTTTGAGAATATGAATTAAGGACCAAAGTTTGACCTTTGATTGTCGATAGGTGGTTCATGCTAGTTGTTTCGTTGCAGATGTTGTTGTTGAGATTCTGCTGCTAGACTAAGGTGAGATTTCTCATTATACAATGTATGATATTATATGTCCAATGTGTTATAGGATGTTTGTGTTCTATTAGTAAACGATTTTGTGATAGACTAGGATAGTCTTGTGTGCGTACATCTGTCAGGTTTGTTTGGTTGAGGATTATGTTGCTATCAGTGGATCGTTGAGTGAATATCGTAGGGTTGTACGCAATTAAAATTAGATAGCATGAGAATTCTTGATCTTACCTTATTGCATGGTCCTTTTCTGGTTAATTGCTCTTTGCTCTCGAGTAGGAACATTTGTTCGACTGGCTATCTTATTATCGACTACGTATAACTATGTATTCGCGAAGTAATTCATCACAATTAGCATAATCTTTGGTATGGTTGTATGTTATTTGCTTAATTTTATGTTGCGTTGATGTGTCAAGTTGGAGGGGTTGATGATAGAACGACCCTAGGTTGCGACTCTAGATACCTAGAGTCGTTGACAAAATGATGCAATGTTGCAAGTCAACTGTTGATGGCAGAACGGTGCAAGCTGTGAATCAATTGTTGATGATAGAACAACACTAGGCTTTGAGTCATGTGAAACGACACAAGATTGCAAGCCATTGTTTGTATGCATTGCATATATATTGAAATATGTGTCATTGTTTGTATGCATTGTATATGTATTTGAATAAGATAAAGGGTTAAATGGTTATTTAATTTGGTACAAGAACCATAATCCTTAGAGATCCTAAAAATAAAGACTAAAAATGCAATACGATTCCATTAAAGAGCACAACTATATATTGAGCAGAACTTAGGGACCAAATATGTAATTTAAGAAAGTCCCACCTTAAAGTATAAGTGGAAATAGAGCTGGAAATGGGTCGACCTAAGTTGGGTTCGGGTTCAACCCATTTATTAACTGGGTTGAAAATATCAACCCAACCAAACCTGTTTATTTAAATGGGTTGATATTTCCAACCCAACCCAACCTTATAGATAAAATAGTTGCCGCTGTGTTGAACATTTATGTAGTTCTCGATCCAACCTATTAAATAAATGAGTTAAACTTGGGTTACTTATTTAAAATCAAAAAATTAAATACATTAACTAAAGATTATACTATATAAATCAGTTTCAAACATAAATAAAATTTCAAAGTATAACGAAAAAACAATCATAATTTACAAATTTGAATAAATTGATCAAATAACATAAAAAATAATTTATTTCAAAAAGATTTTGGAGAGTGACTATTATTTTTATGATAAGAAAAATGATGAGAATTAAGATTATATTTTTTTAAAACACAAATAATAATACAACATTTTAATGTATAAATTAATATTTCGATTAGTACATGATAATATTCAAATAAATATTTAATTAAATATTTATTAAAGTTAAATAGGTTTGTGGGTTGAAAACTCATTAACATTTTTTACTCAACCGAACCTATTTAATTAAATGAGTTAGATGTGAGTTAGACATGTTGATTCATTTCACTTAAATTGGTTGAAACTCAAAACCTCAGTATGCTGATTTTTGGTTGGGAAACAAGACTCCATTAGGCAATCTAATGATCTCAAATAGAGGACCAAAGGGTCTTTCTGTCTTTCACTCCTCTTTTATGACCCTTTAAACGTAACCGTTCAGATTCCCAGCCACTTCCTACTCCACAACAGAACATGTTCAAACTCCCCGGAAAACTCCTCTTATGGTTCTTTATTTTCATGTATTTAATCAATACCATCACCTTGGCTCAACCCAATTTCACTTCTTATTACTGTGAAAACGCAGTTAACTATACCAGAAACAGTACGTACCAAAGAAATCTTGGCACCACCCTCTCCGACCTTCCGAACACCAGCTCCGGCTTTGGTTTCTACAACCTATCCACCGGCGATGGAAACGACAGAGTTAACTCCATGGCCCTTTGTCGGGGCGACGTCGAAACGGATTTGTGCCGGAGTTGCCTGAACGACTCCATTATTAAATTGCGAGAAATCTGCCCTAACCAACGGGAAGCAACAGGATACTACGACAACTGCTTGCTGAAATATTCCAACAAGAATATACTGGGATACACATACGGTCTAGAAGAAATTATGTATTTGAGGAAAACCCAAAACGCGCCAGATAGGGATCGCTTTATTGGGTCTCTGATGCCATTGTTAAGCAAGCTGGGAGCTGACGCGGCGGCCGGCGGATCGCTGCGGAAGTTTGTCACCGGGAACACGACTGTGCCCGATTCCACAACCATTTACGCGCTTATGCAGTGTACTCCAGACTTATCAGAAGTGGAGTGCGAAAGTTGCTTGGATGATTCTGTCAATCAGTTTGCAGTTCAGTATAGTGGGAGAATTGGAGGGAGTACTCTTCTGCCAATGTGTAATTTTAGATACGAAATCTATAGGTTTTTTAATGGGAGTACTATGGTCATAACATCACCGCCAACCTCGCCGGTGTCTCCGCCGCCTGTTCAACCACCACCAGGTAACATATGTATTTTTATTACCGTAACATTCAGAATTTGGGCGTATCTGTTAAAAATTTAACAACAAAAAAAACCTCGAACTTTTCCGATACAACTGTAGACTAAAGTCAGCAGACTGCCAGACTTTGACAAAAGTCAAGGAACTGGTGGAATTTGAAAATACGTACTTATGTCTTTGTCTAACTTATAGCACTTTTGAATTTTAAAGAATTCTATTTTTCAAGCAATTAACATATGAAACCCGGACACGCAAGTGCTTTTTAGGTCCTTCCACTTTGAATATTTGAAGGTTTATAGTTGGCAAAGAAAAATGGTAAGTTAAGATAAAAAAAATACGTATTAAATTCATGTTGATAATTGACGGGTAATAAATTTGAAGATAAGTATAGATAACCCCCTTCTCAAATGCAAGGGAAAAATGTGTGGCCTTGAATCTTGATCAACACAATTGAATGATGTAGACATAGAGGATTATTGGGTCTAAAGACTTTGTCAATAAAGATGTCAAATAACTATTTTTGGAATTTTGGTATTATGGTCAATTCGTAATTTCAGTTTTTAGTTTCATGAAATTTTGATTGTTCTGGTAGAAAATAAAAAGGAACAAACATGCTAGATAAAGATCGAGCAGTCTTATTAGACTTTAATAAAATTGATTGGGACAGTTCGTAATGCCCCGATCTACAGCCCTACCATAAACTTTTCTAAAAAAAAAAACTACCTACGCCCATTTATCTTCGGATGCCTATGCTACCCACATCTCACCACCACCCACAAAGTGTGACACCATGTACCGTTGTATGTATGCTTTGGTTATCCTTCCAATCAGTTTTTGGTGTGTCGATCTTGCCTAAAAATCATAATATCCTGACATGTTTTCTTTGAAAAGACCGTGTCCCCTTTTGTGTCAATTACACCTAAACAAACACTTCCTATGAATTCATTGATTACCTTTGTAGTCCTTCGCCTTTACCCCATTCTTTTTTTTTCAGTCCGCATCCACACCATATACCACACCACCCATATTTGTTCATGCTGCCATGGCATCACAATATTCTGCATCTACCATGTTTGTCACCATGTCAACATCATTGTCACCCAGACCATCGTTCATTGCCACCTCAACAACAATGTCCTCCTCATCGCCCTGTCCACTTTCATGTTTTCAAATATATCCCACCACCCTCTCATTAACAGCTAGTTATCCATTGACCAACCATGCAAAATACATTGTAACCAAACTCTTACAATGCATTTACCATCACACCCGAATTTAATATCTCATGTCTCATTCTTATTTATAGGCAATTACAAGAACCTCACTGGCTTAATGCAATGAATGAAGAATTTTATGCTTCTTATTAGCAAGAGCACTACGTGTACCATGCCCTAGGGTGTACATTATATATATGATCCATTTATTTTTTTCAAGAAGAAACATACTACCAATGGCTCCTTGGCCCATTATAAAGCCCATTGCAACGTTAACAATAAACCTTATGAGATCGATTGCGATGAGATATATAGTTTGGTGGTCAAACAAGCAACGATACATACCATTCTTAGCCTTGAGGTGTCTTATAATTAGCTTGTTCATAAGTTGGATGTGAAGAATGTGTTTTTCCATGGTTAGCTTCAGGACGAGTGCCTCTCACTTTTTGAGATCCTTAATATCCTAGCCATGTGTGACATATGCACTGATACCTTCATAGCCCAACACAAGCATCCTATGTCTGGTTTCATAGTTTTTCCTGGTTTGTTACTCGTCTTTGGTAGGTGTTTATATTTATCTCTTTTTATATATTAAGGGGTGACTTATATCTTGTTGTATATCGATGAAATATTGATTATCGAATCCTCCTAGACGCTTTCTATAGAATATTATCTCCTCCCTTAGTAGGGAGTTCTATATGAGAGATCTTGGGGTGTTGAATTACTTTTTTGGTATATTGATTAAACAGACTAAGCCTGACATTTTTCATAGTCAGGAAAATATGCAACAGAGATCCTCTAGCGAGAACGTGTTCTTAACTACAAACCATGATGCACCCCACCAATACTCATTCCAAGCTTAATGGCTTGAACACCCAAGTTGATGATCTAATCCTTTATCGTAGTCTTGCGAGCGATTTTCAATATCTCATTTTTACATGTCCAAATTTTCTTATGTTTTTCAAGAGATGTCTTTTCATATACGACCATGGGGAGCCACTTTTTGGCGCCTTGAAACGCATGGACTGTAGCTTGATGCATCCCTCATTGGTGGTCTTATTTCTTATTATGATGTTGCTTGGGGAGGATATCCCACCACTCGTCGATCCACTTATGGTTATTGTGCATTTCTTTGTAGCAACTGTCTCTCATGGTCATCCTAGCAACAATGTATTATGTGTCGATCCATTGCAAATAGAGTATCAGGGGTGGCTAATGTTGTAGATAAGACATGTTGGCTACGAAAATTGCTTTGAGTGCTTCACTTTTCTCCAAACAAATCTAAAATCGTTAGTGTGATGATGTGAATGTGATCTACCTATTCACCAACCGAGTCCAACATCAATGAACAAATCCTATTGAGATCGACATGCACTTTGTTCTTGACAAGGTGGCCATGTTCGATTAGTGTATTAGTGTATGTATATTACATCTATAAGTCATTGCATCTTGCCCTTTTATAGCCCGTTTGTACCATGTAATGTCTATGCATTAGTAGCAAGGAGAGAAATCACACTCAGGGGAAATATTAATTAGGGTTAATGTCATATTTAGTCACTTAACTTTTGGTTTTCTGTTTGTTTTGTCACTTAACTCGTTTTAAGTCATAAAAGATCATTGAACTTGTTAATTTTTGTCAAAGTGACCATTGAAGATCTTTTTTTTGGCTATCTAAGGCCATTGAACCTTTTTTAGGTATAATTAGTCACTAAACTTTTGAAAGTTTGCTCATTCGATTTTATATGTTTTTTCTTTTGCAGTTCGTTTTTACAATTTCATTTTTTTTACTTTTTTTTTTACTTTTTTTTAACTTCATTTTTACATGTTTTTACATAATCTATTTTTACAACCCTATTTTTTATTTCGTTTTTATATTGTTTTTTTCAAAATTCTTATTTATAGCTTTTTTGTTTTTGTTTTTTACATGTTTTTTTTACAATCTATTTTTACAATTTCATTATTTGTACTTGTAAATTTGAAGTTGTAAAAGAGATTGTTAAAAATCCATGTTAAAAATAAGTAAGAAAATAAAATTGTAAAAAAAATTGTGAAAAAACCAAGGTTGTAGAACTCGGGGAGTACTCGGATTCGGTAATTCATGTAGAAATATTTTTAGGGAAATTATATACGTCAAAATCATAAGTTAAAATCATAAATTGATTGAACTACATAACAAAATTAGATACATGAGAATACACAAAAACTGAAAAACACATAATAGTCTCACTTCGTGAATAATTACTGAAAATTTAAGATATATTTATATAGTTATAATCACAGGTGTGTGTGTTAAATAATAAATCATTAAGTATATTGTACATATTAATCACCGAATTGACCGGGTTTTACAACACTGCTCAGTTCAGTAAGGGCCGATCGGGGAGTACTCGGGATTTTGTAACGCGCCTCGGTAAGGGGCCGAATAGCGAGTACTCGGAGGAGTAATCGGCCAACTCGGCAAGTCTTACAACACTAGAAAAAACATGTATAAATGAAGTATATATGTGAAGTTATAAAAATAAACTGTGAATAACATATAAAAACGAAGAAAAAAAATAAAGTCGTAAACGGACTTAAAAAACATGAAAAACAAAGTAAAAAAATGAAGTTATAAAAATAGATTGTGAAAAAAAAACATGCAAAAAATTCCATAATTAATTTATAAAAAGTTAAACACCAATCATGAAAATATGTAAAAAAAAAAGTTATAAAAATGAAATGAAAAAGGAAGGAGTAAAAACGAACTAAAAAAACATACAAAAACAAATGAGCACAATTTTCAAAAGTCAAGTAACTAATTATAGTAAAATAAAGTTCAATGACATTAGATATCAATCATCATGAATAATAACCAAACATATTGTGCATCCTTAGGTTATATGTTATTTATTTATTTATTTATTTATTCAAATTTCCTCAAAAGATTGTTTGGGCATTCAAAAAACCACTTTCATGACACATTAATTCTCTTTTTGCAGGCAAAAATAAAAACCAAAAACGAAATGTGATAATAACAATTGTTATTATCACAGTCAGCGTGGTCTTAATAATTGCTTCCATATATATCTTCATCAGATTGGGGAAAAAGAAGAAGCAAATACCTCCAACTGAAAGTATACAAAGTAAGTTCAGAGTTTGCAGCTTAAAAGCCATTTATAACATGAACGTAAAGATCTGTGGCTTATGTTAGGGTGTTTTTTTATAAATAGGTTAGTATATATATATATATATATATATATATATATATATATATATATATATATATATATATATATAGAGCGTACTTTCAGTTTTCATATATTAAAATGGTCATATTTTGGACACACCAATCTACAACACCAGCCTATATCATTAGGTTTACTTTTTTGCCATCCTAATAGTCTATCATTTTTATTATCTAGCCTAATCATTTGATTTAATTTTTATCATTACTATATTATAACATAATTATTACATTAACTTTTTATTTAATTATTATATTATTATTTTACTAACTTCATTATAACCAAAAAAAATTAATTATTTTACTAATAAACATATTTTTTTTTATTTTTTCAAACCTATAACATAAAATATGTTAAACAAAACGTTTTATATATTTTTTATATTTTTTGTATGTAAATTATTAAAATTATTTTTGTATAACGTTTTAAAATTACAAATATAGAAAATAATTTTTTAATACTAAACTAAGAAACTAATTTAAATAAATTTAAAAAATTAAAAAATTAAAAATAAAGACTAATTTCGGTTAAATAAAAAGCCTCTCTCTCTTTTGTTGTTTTCGACATGGTGGCCGAAGATAAGTTGCCGGAGTTGGTCACGGCAGTGTTTAGTGGCGATGTTAAGGCCGGCAGTAAATGATGATAGTGGTCGTCGGATGTGGCAGCTCCCAATAAAATCTAGTCAAAAGTCAAAACTATAAATTTAGTTATCTTCAATCACTCATTTTTTTTTAATTTTAAATACTATCATAAAATTCGTCCAAATATTACATTTTATTTACTGCATATAAGGGTATGTTAGTCGAAAAAATAAAAACTGACGTGATTTAAAATTTACGATTTTTTGTTACATTATAATTCAAGACTTTAATTATAAATCGTATTAGAGTTAAAATATATTATAAAGTATAACATATTTAATATTTATACAAAATATAATTATAAAGGTTGGACGTTACAAATAAAAATAGTGGGTTAAAAAGGTGGGTATTAAAAAAACGGCAGATGCATCGGTTTTATGATATTAAAAAAAGATGTGTAAATTATGAACAAAAAAAAAAGAATTCGAATTAAAAAAAAAAAAAAAAAAAAGCCCGGAGGTTTCAAACACTCCCAATCAAATTTAGTGGATAGTCTAGATTATTGTGTAATTATTGTGTAATGAATCCGTTAGTTTGTATTGGGGCCAACAGAATCTAACTTATTTATATAAGTAAATTTCAAATTGCTCTTTTTGTAAAGGTTTTTCTCAAACAGACCTATTTATAAAAAAATAAAAAATAAAAAGTAAATAAAAACTCAATACATAGTGCTTGAAATGTAGTTATTGTATTAGGGACAACAATTATAGTTAAAAAAACTTCTAACTCTCTACCTCTAATGGCTTTATACCAGCTGAAACTATGGATATTGGCACTGTTGAATCATTGCAATACAACTTTAGTACAATAAAAGCAGCAACAAATGACTTCTCGGAAGACAATAAGCTTGGAAAAGGCGGTTTTGGAGCAGTTTACAAGGTAATAAAAATTGATCTTTGTAGTTACATTCCAAACATTGATAATGTTGATATTACTTCAACGTCGACATATGTTATTATATAATGTTTAGGGTAAGCTTGGAGATGGACTAGAAATTGCAGTCAAGAGGCTAGCAAGGGATTCTAGGCAAGGTGACATAGAATTTAAGAACGAGGTTTTGCTTCTTGCCAAGCTTCAACATCGTAATTTAGTCAAGCTGCTTGGTTTCAGCTTAGAAGGCAATGAACGACTTCTCGTCTACGAGTTCTTGCCAAATGCAAGTATTGATCGGTTTCTATTTGGTAAGGTTATATTGTACTCATGATCTACAAGTTATAAGCTTTAAATGGTTTAAATTAATTTGCCAAGTTCTTAAGAAAACCTTCACCGATGGCCTCTCATTTATGATTTAATATTACTATATCAAATGAATTTTGTAGTAGTTTTAGTCACAAAAGTTGATTTTTAATTTGTTTGATTAAAAAAAATTAACGATGTTTGACCATTTAGATATTTGGGGTAGAAAATGATTCTATTGTTATAGTGAAAATTCTTACCGAGGCCTACCTCTTGTTGGTGTTTGTAGATCCACTTAAGCATACAATTCTTGATTGGGAAAAGCGATACAAGATCATCAAAGGGGTGGCCAAGGGACTATTATACCTTCATGAGGACTCCTATCTAAGGATAATTCATCGTGATTTGAAAGCCAGTAATATTTTGTTAGATGCTGAAATGAATCCTAAAATAGCAGATTTTGGAATGGCCTTTGACCCTGACGAATCTCAAGGCGACACAAATCAGATTGTAGGAACCTAGTAAGTATACTTCATATGGAAAAAAAAATATGGACATATTTCACTATACTTGTCTTATTCCATTATAAAGTGTAACTACTTACCTTTTCTCTTTCTATCGGGTCACACAGTGGTTATATGGCACCAGAATATGCAACGCACGGCGAATTTTCAGTAAAGTCAGATGTATTTAGCTTTGGAGTTTTATTGTTGGAACTAGTAACAGGTCAAAAAAACCAACGTTTTCAAAATGGAGAGGACATTGAAGACCTTCGTAGCTATGTAAGTTCCTGTTGATTCAATTTTCGCATTGTAGTTGGCATTCTAGAAAAAAAAATCGTAATTGAGTTACCGAAAAATAATTTTTAAATTCATTGGATTTTTTTTTCATCTTTTTCTAGAAAAGGCCAAAAATAGGATAAACTCTAAAAGACAAAGAAAATCATATTAAGCACGTCAAAGCCTTTACTTAATAAATCAGTTTTGTTAATGTAATGTCATTATGTTAAAAAAAATTGAACTGTTAATCTCTTCCAGGCATGGAAATGTTGGCGAAATGGGACCGTGACAAACATTATCGATCCTACATTGATGACCGGATCTGGTTTGCGTGATATCAGTAGAAGTATCCACATTGGGTTATTATGCGTTCAAGATACTGCTTATGACAGGCCAACCATGGCTGCTGTTGTTCTTATGCTTAATAGTTTCTCTATCACACTTCCAGTACCATCAGAGCCTGCATTTTTCATGCGTAGTACCATTGATCCTCAATTTCCAGTACCATCAGAGCCTGCATTTTTCATACATAGTACCATTGATCCTCAATTTCCACTCCTTCAAGAGTACAGTTCTTCAATTGGGAGCAACAGTTTAGAAAAAATTAAAATATCAAAATCAAGTTCATCCCAAATTTCGGTAAATGATATCTCAATGTCTGAGATAATTCCTAGATAGGTTTTACTCAAAATAAGTGTTGAAATATCAACCCCAACGACATTTTAGCGAAGAGAATACTACACCGTGTTACAAGTCGACAATCTTCAAGATCAAACATTAAGCCAAGTATTATGAAATAACGATTCGAATGGAATAACAACTATTTGAGCAACCAAAAATAATGTAAAGCAAGAAATAAGAAAAGAGAGAAGAAAAGATTTCTACGTGGAAACCCAACTGGGAAAACTACGGGTAGAGGATGCTGAAAATCACTTCACTGTATCGATTGAGGTTATAATGCTTCTGAAATAAAAAAGAGATATTCAAGAAATCTAATCATCTATTTGTAGAGGCTTGACATTGAGATATGCATCAAGGATAAACCTTAGACCATAAAGTTTATCAATAAGGAAACTTTTAATCATTTATGTAAAGGAAAGACAATTTCCAACTATGAGCATAATGTTTGGAGGCATAGATTTCAATAATCTCCACTTTGACTCCTAAAGTCGAAAAGCACCAACCAATACTCAATGATTCTTGAATCCATTCAAAAAATTCAAAAGAAAAATAGTAATAGAAATGACCTTCAAATAACAAATCTATCCCTTATCAAGAGCCTTTTGGCTCACTTGAGTTTTTGAACACCCAGTTCAAACATAATTTAAACTTAGGTATTGAAAGACTTTTTAGTAAACTTGGCTACATATGTTTCTATTAGTCATGAAACATTTGATCCTTGGTTTGAAAAATTGTATTTTGATTGTCGCAAAACAACCTTTAACGTGTTATTAAGCTTTCCAATCAGCATTTTCAACCAAATAGCATCTTTAACTGCTTTTATGACGTCACGTATTAGGATTTAGTGGTGGATAACACAACTGTCAGTGTATCCCATATTGACGCAACACGGTCTGTTATGTCTCTGTATATGTTGGAGTATCCTCTTTCTCCACAAAGGCTATTTTGGATACTTAATATGGGGTTCCATATTTATCTTACATGGTATGTGTCTGCACCCCGTGACTTAATATAACCTTGTCTGACCTCATCGAGCCTCCATCTCTATGGAGGAGTGTTGGTGTATCCCATATTGGTGTGACACGGACCCTTATATCTTTATATATGTTGGAGGCTTCCTTCTCTCCATAAGGGATCTTTTGGAGAGTTAATATGGGGCTATACATATATCTTACAACTATATATTGTAATTGTGCTTTCCAACTAATAGCACAATCATCTAAATTGAAAACATATATCAGAATAAATTTATTTTGTCTAAATCCTTTGCATAATCGGAATCTATATACCTAAGCACTCTGTTTTACTATTCCAAAACATAAACATACAGAGGATGTACCATGCAAAGAGAAAAACATCAATTTGACAACATTCCAATGCTCCTTTCTTGTGTTCGCCATGTATTTACCTACTATAACCTGCCACATATGAAAAATGTGGACGTATATATTGTTGGATTAGGTGTCTAAGCCATTAACTGAATTATTATAAACTTAAATTATTAGCAAAGTCCTTTTGGGTTGCACTCAAACCTAGTAAGAGACTGATTTATTAATTTATTATATGATTAATAAAATAATTAGAAATCGAAATGAATAACTTATTAATATGTTTTGAGAAAAATATATTAATTCGAAATTATGTTGTTTAATTATAGATTAATCAGAAATTAATTGTAATTAATTTTGGGATTAATTGGAATAACTAAAAGTGGAAGGACTAAAAGTATCAATGTCCAATAGTTGAACATTTACTGATTTTAGAACCTCCCTATGAGAGGGGACAGTTCTAAGGGGTTAAGGGAGACTTTCTTGGGCTCTAAGAAATGCTTGGGTTGCTTGGGGGGAAAGAATAGAGTTAGGGTTATCCATAAGGAAACCTGCCTTTTATGTACCTCATTAAGCCCTATAAATACCCCAAGGCTAAGGGTTTCAGTTTTCACGTCTTCCAAGAGATTCTTAGAGCCAAAATTATACCCTCCCCCTCTCTCTTCAATAAGCCTCCAACTTCTAGTGTTTGGGTGTGAGCCATCATGGGCATGAGATTTTTGGTGCTGGCTTTCTGAAGTTCTACAAAGAAGGAATTCAAGTTTATTTACAATAATAACATAAAAGGTATGTTTTCTAATAACCTTCTCCAATTTCGAAAATAGCAATCTACTTTAGGGTTCTTGAATTCAAATTGTTGTTTGCATATCATAGTGAGACTATAGATCCTTTAGGGTGTATGCGAATTTAGGGTTTTATATTTTCCGCCAAAAATACATTTTTGTTATCTATAAAACCCATCAGTGGTATCAAAGTGTATGTTCTCTGTGATCTTGCACAAAGTTGAATAAGATCAAAAACCTTTCTTGATGGTTTTCGATTTGGGCAAGGGTTTTAGAAACCCTAGCCTCCTTCTTTAATTCTCGAAATTGGTAGGGTTTTTGGTAGGGTTTCCTTGTTTTGATAATTATTAGTTTTTAATGACTTCAAATTGGATAATTATTAATTTGGTAAATCCCAAATCCTAATTTCGAAACTAGAGGGTATCGGATTAGGATTAAAATTTATTTGATTAATTGATTAATAGTAAATAAATTTTTTTAATCCTTATTGGTTTAATTTAACTTGAATTAATTTTATTAATTTCGAAATTTGTAAATTAAACCTAGTATTTTTTTTTTAAAAATGAAATATACTATATATATATATATATATATATATATATATATATATATATATATATATTATATATATATATATAGGGTCCGGATCCGGTGAGGACTCGAAAATCGGTGAGGACTGCGAGGACAATTCTCGTCCACTCATGTTCATTAAGGCTAATTGGTTCATAATGCAACTAAATTATATGGGCTTGAGAAGAAAGAAACTTAAAGGGGCTGGCATTGATCTGATATGAAACAGATTCGTCTTCCTCGATGCGACTTTATATGGGTTTATATATATATATATATATATATATATATATATATATATATATATATATATATATATATATATATATATATATATATATATATATATATATATATATATAGAAGTAAATTTAGTGCGAAAATTAGAAGATAAAATGGTTATGCACTTATGCTTATGATGCCTTGTAGGTGTTTGATGAAATGTCTGAGTGAGGTCATAATTTTTGAATTTGGATTGTTTTTCTTAGTTTACTTTCATGTTTAGTAGGTGTCTTTTGGGTGTATTTTCTTTCAGTTGTGTGCATATTTATAAGTACCATGTTGTTCATGCAATCCGTGATTGAAAACAAGATTTACACAATGATGTTCATATATACACTCGATTCCAAAAAAAAAAAACATTTTTTCGTGTGCTTTAGGGTTGTTTCATTAAATTATTTGATTTTATATGTGTTATATATACTTGGAAGCAAATTTAGTGTGAAAATTTAGAAGATAAAATGGTTATCAACTTATGCCTAATGATGCACTACAGGTGCTTGATGAAATACCTGAAAGAGGTCACAGGTTTTGAATTTGGGGTTTTTTCTCAATTTACTTTTGTGTTTAGTAGGTATCTTTTGGGTGTATTTTCTTTTAGTTGTGTGCATTTTTACAAGTACCATGTTGTTCATGACCTTGTGGATGACTTAAGTGTTCATCTTAATTTATAGTTGATGTTCTTGTGTTCAAAAAATTATGTCTGATGGTTTCTAAATGTCTGTATAAGTTTGTTTGTAATGACCTCCTTTAGGTGGTCTTGTCTTTTATTTTGAAGTTGCTTATCATTGATCATGATTGAGGGCATATGCTTACCCTTCAGATTCATCTTGTTGACATTAACTACTATCATTTTTTGGTTTAATTATGTAAGTTGGAGCCTGTCACACCCCCAAACCAGACGGCGGAAACATCCGGGGGTGGAGGACTTCATTTGTAGTATAACAACACATGCATTATAGTAATCAGAGTACAAACAACCATTGTATTTAAAAACTATAAGTATTTACATGTGTTTCATCAATGTATACTGAAACTAAATAGTTTTACAAAAGAAGAAGACAAGACATAAATAGCTCCATCTTCTCAAAAGCTCGAGGTGTACCTGTCTATTGGTTCCCTAAGAATACAAGTAATTTGAAAAGAGAGTATCAACATAAAGTTGAGTGAGTGCATAAGTATTTATATTTCAATGAATGTTTTCTGTTTCTTGAATATGTAAATTGTTTTTCGTAAACTAGTACTTTGAAAATGTACTTAAGTTTAGTTAATTATACACTAGCGTATTGTTAATATCTTTTATATGAGTTATTATAACCATACTGACTAGATGGCCTGACCCAACGCCATGAGTGTGCTGAAAACATGTTGATAACAATTTTTCACTCACAGGCATGTATGCCTGACTGTAGCTAGCAGTCCGAGTGCGGGGTTGTCAATCCCAATATAGATCTATACACACATTGTTTCGATCCCCTGCTGGAGATTCTGGTTATAATGTCAGGACTTTACTATATTGTTTAAATGAATTAAACAACCTGTACTACTTGAATCATAAAAGCATATAAACATTACATGTATAATAGTTATGAAAAACTCAGTCATTCTGAAATAAATGATTAATAGTATGTTCTTGAATTAGTATTCTTAACATGTATCTGAAAGAATGTATACTATTGACTAGTTTTGAATCAAAACTTTTATTCTTATAAAACATTGTATTCTAGTATGCTTGAATCGTGAATTAATGTTTTGTGAATCTTAAATTATACCTATTATAATTTATATGTACATTCTGATTTGATAACGAGTGTTCATGAATGTAACCCCTTGCTCAACATGTTACAAAGGGTAATTGAAACTTAATGAACAAACTTTTATACTTGTATACATATACTAATATATATAAGTAAAATTTAAATGACACTCGGACAAATAACCGCTACTTGTAATCCCACATCCAAACAAGGAAAAGGAACCAAAGTGGGTTATCAGTCCTAAGCCTTTTAAATCTTATTTATATAAATATATGTATACTAGTATGATTTTTGGGGAAAAATATAAGTTTATAAAAGTTAAAAACACTTAAAAGAAGTTTGATATTTTGAAATCCATTTTGATGACTTGATGTCATTTTGAAACTATCATTTAAAACCATTTGATTTGATAATAACTGAAATCCATTTTGATAAGATATTTGCAAATCAATTGTTTATAAAACAAAAACTATGTGTTAGACTTGTATCCCCCCCCCCCTTAAACAGTAAAAACTATGAAAATATGGGGGTATGAACTCACCTGTAGTAAGTTATTCAAATGTACGACCGGTGTAGGATGCTAAGTGTCAAGTAAAACCTTGAGCACAAACGGATCCTAAGAGCATATAATCACACATATATGAGTATAATTAGTGTTTATACATCTAAATATGCTAAGAAACCATCTCAGGGACTAGGAATCACTTGGACTAAGTGTTAGAATGATAGGGAAGCT